GGTCTCTCTGTATGAAGACTTTACCAATAAGGGAGATGAGCCCGCTTCTGTCAAATGGTGTCTGCTGTTACACTGTGGTCCCTCTGTATGAAGACTTTACCAATAAGGGAGATGAGCCCGCTTCTGTCCAATGGTGTCTGCTGTTACACTGTGGTCCCTCTGTATGAAGACTTTACCAATAAGGGAGATGAGCCCGCTTCTGTCCAATGGTGTCTGCTGTTACACTGTGGTCCCTCTGTATCAAGACTTTACCAATAAGGGAGATGAGCCCGCTTCTGTCCAATGGTGTCTGCTGTTACACTGTGGTCCCTCTGTATCAAGACTTTACCAATAAAGGAGATGAGCCCGCTTCTGTCCAATGGTGTCTGCTGTTACACTGTGGTCCTTCTGTGTCAAGACTGTATCAATAAGGGAGCTGGTGTCTCGCTGAAGTAGTTCTACAGTTTATTACGAGATACTCATCACAGGTCCTGCCGCTAATTACTTTATAATGTAGGCTGTCTTTGAGTTATAACTGATGCTCATTAGACTTTCCAAGAAATAAATTATATATGATATCTAATTAGTAAAACAGCTGGCATCTGTGGCTGACTGTTGACAACATCTGGTATTACGTTTATAATGAGCTCACATTTTTTCACATCGCTGATAATTAGATAGCGGGTTACGTACTTTAACACAACCATTAGAACTATAATAGTTACGGCCGGGGTGTCAGATAGATGGTATAGGAGAACAGATAACATCTGTGTGACTGACTACGGTTCATTCATCAACATCTGTCTACATGGTGGGACTCATTAATTACAAATAAAGCAACAGCTTAATGTGGACTTAACTCTGGATACATATGTACAGACCAGCAGTAAATGTATATTTTAGCAAATAATGTAAAGAAATGTGTAAATATTGTTTTAACAAGTGATAATGGTATGGAAACGAACTTATAGTTTATTCTGGACCAAATCCAATCATATAGATAATAATGAAACATGATGTCCATATTGGACGTAAATGTAGATTTTAACAAACATCTGATGTGGAAAGGAGCTTTGATATTTTATCTGTTCATCAAGATCAATCTGCTGTCTGGTTTGTTGCTGGCGAGTCGTGTGACTATAGGTACTTGATGATCTTAAGGTCAGCAGAAGACTCGGTAAGGAGACCAAGAGGGACCACCTCAGGATTCATTCTCAGGTTGTAAACTTCATCCTCATGAGTGTTAGGTGCAGGGATTGTTTCTATCTTGCAAAGCTGAATGAGTTTGTCTTCAAATGCATCGAAATTCACAAGGAATAAGATGTCAAGTGGTTGTGTGCATGATTCCCAACATGATGTTTGCACTGAGGAGAGCTGTGATACACTTCCAGTAAGTTCTGCTGTCTCTCTTCTCGTGTATATGAAGACTGGAATACAGATATTACCCGCGCAAATTCTCGTTGAAAACAATCTGACCTGTGCAGCTGCCATTATTGGAATGATACAGCAGGGGTAAAACTTGCAGAATAAATACACGCCAGTCTGTCTTGTAATCTGCTCATAGACTGACATGTATTACAACCTGTCGCCTGAAAAAATGTTTATAGAATCTTCCTCAAATCGATGAGATTTCCTTACTAAGATGGTGTAGCTAACTCATTTTATTCCCACTTATTTATCTTAGTAAAGCCTAATTATCTAACAAGTAAAAAGTGGGGAAGACCTTAATTTAGCTGTGCTACTTTTACAATTAACCAAACCTGTCAGTATCCAAGTTTTAGCTATTAATATGAGCGTCATTTGTCTTTACCCCCTGACACAACAGAACTTCGATGCCCGTATTACTGCAGAGGCCGCTTTGACGAGCCAGACAAAGCGACTGTACTAGTGCCGGTACTCTAGGTAGTTGTGTGTGTGTCTTGACTGTGGGTACTACCTGCCATTGATCTGTCCAGCTACCGACGCCACATAACCAAGTACCGCGTCAACAAGCTTTGTCCCATGTGAGCATTCTCACTCTCACGGTCGTCTTGGTTACATTTAATTCAGCATCTAAACGTATTCCAAACAATATAACTACATTGTACTAACATGGTAAAGGGACGTGACGTTTTCCATTGTGAAGTGTTTACAATAATGCTATCCGCGAGTACACAATGCTTTACCGTAATGTCAAATGCAGTCCTTGTAATGTTTCATTACAGTGAGCATTACGTAATCACTAATATAGTTGATACAATGAAAGCACTGTGGGAATAATTCAAGACACTTTACTTATCTCCATGTGTTTTTGACAATGCTTATTTCAAGTAGCTCAACATGTATTTCGTTTAAACTTGTTTGCAGATGCAGTTCTGTAAAACAAAGTACGTGATAGCTTCGCTACACACACTGTCGTGATGCTATTTAAATCTAAATATAGCGCTGGTAAAAGAAATCCTTACTAAAGAAGCGCGTAAGAAGATCAAAGCCGAGGGTTTATAATGGGATTTAAGAAACAAAGTCAAGGAAAGTGAAGGATAAACGTAAATTGTGTTTTCTCAAAGGAAATAGTAGGCGTGAAGACCTATCATTTCGATAGACCGATCATTGCTTCATGCCGGAGGAGACTGTGAAAACAAGCTGTAGTGTATATGGTTCAGGTACCCAGGTAGTGTTGACAGCTGACGTGACGGGAAATAGTCCACTCTGTCAAAGTCATAAATACTAATTCATAAACAATCGTTGTGTATTCTTGATTACATCTACAAACCCCCAATGTCGACAGTAAAACGTTTTAGTAAACTAAGACACTACACCTAAACGAGAAAGACTATGTGTATCAACTAGAACGTTTGAAACATTCACCGTTCAGTGCTTTTCTGCCTCCCTGCGACCAACCAAATCTTTTGTCATATGGACGAAATACTACATTGCCGGACATGGTTAATGCAGCGCATGTCATTATATCGTTGTCCGTACGTAAAGTGCATTACATCCATGACAAAACTTCCTTGTTGTGTGAGATACCCAACTTTCTGGACAAGTACATCAATCTTCAGACACAACCCTATCAACTCTTATCGCGCATCTAACCTCGGCTATCCGATCAGCTGATCATCTTGGAAATCAGCATATGGCATGTAATGTACCACTGGAATATAGATATTGCAATCTAAAAGAACCGATTAGGAGTGGTTCTTCATTTGCAATATTAACTGCCTTTCCTTTTCTTGACTAAACCTAATTTCCGTCCACGACATTAGCTGCTTGTCGAGCAGGCTCACTTACACAGGCCGCTCCAGTTTCCAGCTCTTGCAAGAAAATAAGCAAACGGATATATGTCTTATATACGCTTCATATATAGATCATAATTAAATAAATAACAAATTCACACTCACTACGTCCACGGGAATATAAACGGATTCTTCTAAGTGTGAATTACAAGTTCACTGGTGACGTTCTACTAAACCGTATTAACTCATCATGACTAATGTTACAGATTATTTCACTGTTGAAAGTTGTTCTCCTTCAACACATTGCTTGTAATAACTACAGTTACAGGTTACTTTATTGTCGTCATTCAGATTTTTTATGTGCAGTCAAAAGATGTTTTATAACAGTCGTATATGGAAACTTCATACGTAATTGGGTTGGTGACAATCGAAACCGAAGTTTATGCATTTCAGTTCAAACGATTCTAAACATCAAGGAGATACAGGTTACATTGTTTATGATGACAAATGTGATCTTAGATTCGTCGATGCTCAAATTATTAAAGTTGAATCCTTCCACCACTGGGATCTAGGGTTTTTCAGTATTAACGTTTAACGTCACAAATGTTTCTTAATATGTTTCTGGTAACTGACAGTGTCACACCAAGTGATAAATGTACTTCATGATGTTCCGGGGTTGCGGATTACAATGTGACTACAAGTTACCAGTGTTTCTGTTCACACTAAAACAATTACAAGCGCGACAAGTGATCACATTGCGGGCTTCTAGCATATATGTTACTTAATGTACACGAAATTGCCATTTCCAGAGTGAAACATGCATGATTTACATTAGATATTTGCCCGCAGCAAGTACATTGATCATGGGTTGACGTCAGAAGGGTGATTAGTAGACATTCACAACAGCTTATCACCCAATAATAACCTGTACAAACAATAAACTGATGAATGTCTTACCCACAGAAATGAATTGTCTTTGACAAACTACATGTGTCAGTTGGAAAATAAAAAAGTGAAGTTATCTGCAGTGATGAGAACATCAGTAAGATCGGAGTGTCCAGAAAGACAAATTAGGATGGAAAATTCATAAAAAGAACATTAACCTCGCCTCTGTTCGTCATTTTCTGTAATGTCCTAATAAAGAGAAAATATGCCAGTGCGTTGATTTACAGTCTTCGTAAACGCATGCACGAGCACTACGGCGCGAGTCGATATTATCACCATGAATCTGCGTCCTTTACAGACGTGTGTTTCTCGTGACAGACACAGACAGCGTTCTGTTCAGGATTTGGGATTTTCTAAATGCCCTCTGTATATACTATACGCGTAAGAAATGTTGGTTCGGACAATGATGTCACAGCACAAATGATACTGTTTCGATATCACCTGGACACACAAGAGACCTGTACGTGTTAATTTCATTAAAACATTAAAATTAAGCCTAAATAAATGAAAGAATCAATTGTCAGCTAATCAATCAAAGTGTAGGAAATTAACAAGTTGTTAAACAATGGCTAGAAACGCTAAGCTAAGGCTTTGTCGTGTTGGTTTAATGACAGTTATGAACGTTTTCAATCCTTGCAGCGATCATGTTAAAAAAGAGACGCTTTTATATTTCCAACAAAATGAAGCCACATTCAGGAGGATGTGAAGCATGGGTTTGATTATAGCGACATCACACGCTAGAGTACCTTAACAAAGTGCATGGAAAGTCGCAAATGCCTGTTCCTATTGACGTGCGATGTATGACAGAAAGTGTCGGCGGAGCTGAGAGAGTCGAGTCAATAGAGTACAATCTACACGTACCTGTGTGCTGTCTGTGTATGTCCCCGGGTCTGATGGAAGTGGACGTTGGAAAGGCGGGATGGTATTTAAACACGGATAATGTATGCTCGTCGTCGACGAATGGGGTTAGGGCTCTTCGCCTCCTCGCGTGGACAGCTCGGGCGTCGGTGCGATCGCGATATGTGACACCATTGGCTGATTCAGATGACGCAAGGAGTCTTGGAGCGTCACAAACACACAATGCAGAGTAAACACAAAGTTTGGACCAAGTTGTCCATTAAGAAACTACAGCGCACTCAGATTGGTAAGCATTTGGTGCTAATGGTCAAACATTAAGGCAAAGGGCGTCTCATCTGGAGAGGTCTCCCACAGTTAAGGTTTTGCAAATGTTGGGCGGTGGCCGGACGAAGGATATGTCTTAACGGGAAGTGAAAACTAGCCGCTATTGAATTAGGCTGTAAGGAGAGGGATTCGATTTGCGGACACGCGATACGAAGCGATCACTTGACAAGGACTTGAATTCTTCAGAGGGATATTGTTGGAAAGATACGCGATGAATAATCTGATTATGACGACTGGTCAAGCTGGGAAGTACAAGATTAGTGTATGTAAAGCGGTGGTCAGCTGCCGGCCACACTCTCAAGGCGAACATCAAGGGAGTAGTGGTTGTCTGATAGAGAAGTGGACAGCCACACTCTCAAGGTGGGCAATACAGGGATGATGTATGCTAGAGTAGTGGAGAACTAAAAGCCACACACTCTCAAGGTGGGCAATACAGGTTTGGTGTATGTTAGAGTAGTGTACAACTAACAGCCACACATTCTCAAGGTGGGCAATGCAGGGATGGTTGTATGTTAGAGTAGTGTACACCTAACAGCCACACACTCTCAAGGTGGGCAATACAGGGTTGGTGTATGTTAGAGTAGTGTACAACTAACAGCCACACACTCTCAAGGTGACCTATACAGAGATGGTTGTATGCTATAGTAGTGGACAGCCACACTCTCAAGGTGGGCAATAGAGGGATGATGTATGTTAGAGTAGTGTACAACTAACAGCCACACTCTCTCAAGATGGGCAATACAGCGATGGTGTATGTTAGAGTAGTGTACAACTAACAGCCACACACTCTCAAGGTGGGCAAAACAGCGATGGTGTATGTTAGAGTATTGGACAACTAACAGCCACACACTCTCAAGGTGGGCAGTACAGCGAAGGTGTACGTTAGTGTATTGGACAACCAACAGCCACACACTCTCAAGGTGACCAATACAGGGATAGTTAAATGTTAGATTAATGTACAAGTGACAGCCACACACTCTCAAGGTGGGCAATACAGGGATCTTTGTATGTTAGAGTATTGTACAACTAACAGCCACACACTCTCAAGGGTGACAATACAGGGTTGGTGTATGTTAAAGTAATGGACAACTTACAGCCACATACTCTCAAGGTGGGCAATACAGGGATCTTTGTATGTTAGAGTATTGGGCAACTAACAGCCACACACTCTGAAGGTGGCAAAAGAGCGATGGTGTATGTTAGAGTAGTGTACAACTAACAGCCACACACTCTCAAGCTCACCAATACAGGGATGGTGTATGTTAGAGTAGTGTACAACTAACAGCCAACACTCTCAAGGTGACCAATACAGGAATGGTTGTATGTTAGAGTACTGTACAACTAACAGCCACACACTCTCAAGGTGGGCAATACAGCGATTGTGTTTGTTAGAGTAGTGTACAACTAACAGCCACACACTCTCAAGGCGGGCAATACAGGGATGGTTGTATGTTAGAGTAGTGGACAACTAACAGCCACACACTCTCAAGGTTGGCAATACAGGGATCTTTGTATGTTAGAGTATTGGACAACTAACAGCCACACACTCTCAAGGGTGGCAATACAGGGTTGGTGTATGTTAGAGTAATGGACAACTAAAAGCCACACACTCTCAAGGTGGGCATTACAGGGATGGTGTATGTTTTAGTATTGGACAAGCAACAGCCACACTCTCAAGGTGGGCAATACAGCGATGGTGTACGTTAGAGTAGTGTATAGCCAACAGCCACACACTCTCAAGGCGGGCAATACAGGGATGGTTGTATGTTAGAGTAGTGGACAACTAACAGCCACACACTCTCAAGGTTGGCAATACAGGGATCTTTGTATGTTAGAGTATTGGGCAACTAACAGCCACACACTCTCAAGGTGGGCAATACAGCGATGATGTATGCTAGAGTAGTGTACAACTAACAGCCACACTCTCTCAAGGTGGGCAATACAGGGTTGGTGTATGTTAGAGTAGTGTACAACTAACAGCCACACTCTCTGAAGGTGGCAAAAGAGCGATGGTGTATGTTAGAGTAGTGTACAACTAACAGCCACACACTCTCAAGCTGACCAATACAGGGATGGTGTATGTTAGAGTAGTGTACAACTAACAGCCACACACTCTCAAGGTTACCAATACAGGAATGGTTGTATGTTAGAGTACTGTACAACTAACAGCCACACACTCTCAAGGTGGGCAATACAGCGATGGTGTTTGTTAGAGTAGTGTACAACTAACAGCCACACACTCTCAAGGTGGGCAATACAGGGATCTTTATATGCTAGAGTATTGGACAACTAACAGCCACACACTCTCAAGGGTGGCAATACAGGGTTGGTGTATGTTAGAGTAGTGTACCACTAACAGCCACACACTATCAAGTTGGGCAATACAGCGATGGTGTTTGTTAGAGAAGTGTACAACCAACAACCACACACTCTCAAGGTGGCCAATACAGGGATATTGGACAAGCAACAGCCACACTCTCTCAAGGTGGACAATACAGGGATGGTTGTATGTTAGAGTATTGGACAACTAACATGCACACACTCTCAAGGTGGGCAATACAGCGAAGGTATAGGTTAGAGTATTGTACACCTAACATGCACTCTCAAGGTGACCAATAGAGGGATGGCTGTATGTTAGAGTATTGGACAACTAAAAGCCACACACTCTCAAGGTGGGCAATACAGGGATGGTGTATGTTTTAGTATTGGACAAGCAAAAGCCACACTCTCAAGGTGGGCAATACAGCGATGATGTACGTTAGAGTAGTGTATAGCCAACAGTCACACACTCTCAAGGTGGGCAATACAGGGATGGTGTATGTTAGAGTAGTGTACAACTAACAGCCACACACTCTCAAGATGTCCAATACAGCGAAGGTGTATGTTAGAGTATTGGATAACTAACAGCCACACACTTTCAAGTTGACAAATACAGGGATGGTGTATGTTAGAGTAGTGTACAACTAACATCCACACACTCTCAAGATGGGCAATACAGCGATGGTGTATGTTTAAGTATTGGACAACTAACAGGCACACACTCTCAAGGTGGGCAATGCAGGGATGGTTGTATGTTAGAGTATTGGACAACTAACATGCACACACTCTCAAGGTGGGCAATACAGCGAAGGTATAGGTAAGAGTATTGTACACCTAACATGCATTCTCAAGGTGACCAATAGAGGGATGGTTGTATGTTAGAGTATTGGACAACTAACAGCCACAGACTCTCAAGATGGGCAATACAGAGATGGTGTATGTTAGAGTAGTGTACAACTAACAGGCACACACTCTCAAGGTGGGCAATACATCGATGGTGTACGATAGAGAATTAGACAACTAACAGGCACACATTCTCAAGGTGGCAATACAGCGACGGTGTATGTTAGAGTAGTGTACAACCAACAGCCACACACTCTGAAGATGGGCAATAGAGCGATGGTGTGTGTTAGAGTAGTGTACAACTAACAGCCACCCACTCTCAAGGTGGGCAATACAGGGATGGTGTATGTTAGAGTATTGTACAACTAACAGCCACACTCTCTGAAGGTGGGCAATACATCGATGGTGTATGTTAGAATATTGAAAAACTAATAGCCACACACTCTCAAGGTGGGCAATACAGGGATGTTTGTATGTTAGAGTAGTGTACAACTAACAGCCACACACTCTGAAGGTGGGCAATAGAGCGATGGTGTATGTTAGAGTAGTGTACAACTAACAGCCACACACTCTCAAGGTGGGCAATACAGGGATGGTGTATGTTAGAGTAGTGTACAACTAACAGCCACACACTCTCAAGGTGGGCAATACAGGTGATGGTGTATGTTAGAGTAGTGTACAACTAACAGCCACACACTCTCAAGGTGGGCAATACAGCGATGGTGTATGTTAGAGTAGTGTACAACTAACAGCCACACACTCTCAAGGTGGGCAATACAGGGATGGTGTATGTTAGAGTAGTGTACAACTAACAGCCACACACTCTCAAGGTGGGCAATACAGCGATGGTGTATGTTAGAGTAGTGTACAACTAACAGCCACACACTCAAATACAGGTGGTGTTAATACAGCGATGGTGTAACAGCCAGAGTAAGGTGTACAACTAACAACTAACAACACACTCTCAAAGGTCAATACAAGGTGTATGTTAGAGCAATACAGGTGGGCAATACAGGGATGGTGTATGTTAGAGTAGTGTACAACTAACAGCCACACACTCTCAAGGTTAGAGTATTGGCAATACAGCGATGGTGTATGTTAGAGTAGTGTACAACTAACAGCCACACACTCTCAAGGTGGGCAATACAGGGATGGTGTATGTTAGAGTAGTGGACAACTAACAGCCACACACTCTCAAGGTGGGCAATACAGCGATGGTGTATGTTAGAGTAGTGTACAACTAACAGCCACACACACTCAAGGTGGGCAATACAGCGATGGTGTATGTTAGAGTAGTGTACAACTAACAGCCACACACTCTCAAGGTGGGCAATACAGCGATGGTGTATGTTAGAGTAGTGTACAACTAACAGCCACACACATTCTCAAGGTGGGCAATACAGCGATGGTGTATGTTAGAGTAGTGTACAACTAACAGCCACACACACTCAAGATGGGCAAGGTGGGTACAATACAGCCACACACTCTCAAGGTGGGCAATACAGCGATGGTGTATGTTAGAGTATTGTACAACTAACAGCCACACACTCTCAAGGTGGGCAATACAGCGATGGTGTATGTTAGAGTATTGTACAACTAACAGCCACACACTCTCAAGG